ATATGTAAACTAAAGCCAGTTTTATAATTAGAGAAGTAATAGAGTCATCCTTCTTAAAAATCAGATAAAGTAAGTGATGAATAAAAATAAGAGTATTTACTATTACAATCTAATTTAATACTAGTTATGCTCTCATGACTACTCAAGAATATAATAAGCAATAAGAATTATAAATCTAAAACAAAATTGCAATTTTAAAAATGACAATTTTATAGATGTATAAAACGCAGTGCAATGAACAACGAAGTTATTGGAGGTAATTAAGAAATGTGAGACGGTACTGTAAAATTGCAGGCGGTGATGTCCTCAGAAGTCACTAAGGTCGATATATGCTGAAGTCATATAGCTAAAAATATAGTGATAAAAAAATGTAATGAGAAAACATTGAATCCATGTCCAAAACTGAATTTCCTTCCACCTGCCTACCCCAGGCCTGCTCCTTCCTGTTTGTTTGGCTGCTGATGAATGCCACCTCCGTCTGCCCACGTCATCCCACCCTGAACTTGGAGGTCGTCTGATGTACCCCACCCTCCCCTCTTCTTTTACCCTCACAACCAGTCACTGGTTACCAGCTTCTGACACCTCCTACCTTCTCTCTTAAATCTGTTCTTATGCCCAGCTCTCCTGACTTAAGTCTTCATCGTTTTTCCTAGATGATTTCTTCCGGTTTTTTTATATATATGCATACATATATACACACATACACATATGTATATATATATGTGTGTGTGTGTGTGTGCGCGCACGTGTATACACACGTACATACATATACACATCTGCTCCATAAGTAAAATGAGCATGATATTGGTTTTGGTTTTTTCCACCCCCCAGTCTGACATTTTAGGGTTTTTTTAGGATTTTGTCTTGGTTATTTTTTTTATCCAGTTTCTTTTATTTTATTTTTATTAAAATTATGGGGCGACAGTGGTTAATAAAATCAGATAGGTTTCAAGTATACACTTCAATAGTATGTCATATGTATATTGCGTTGCGTGTTTACCACCCAAAGTTAAATTTCCTTCTGTCTCTAAATATTTGGCCCCCTTTACCTCTATCTACTTCCCCCTTCCTCACCTTCCCTCTGGTAACCACTAATCCACTGTTCGTGTCCATGAGTCTGTTTGTCATGTTTGTTTGTTTGTTCTCAGTTTAATACCAAACATGAGTGAAATTGTATAGTTCTCAACTTTTTCTGTCTGGCTTATTTCACTTAGCATGATAATCTCAAGATCCATATATGTTGCCGCAAATGGCAGTATTTCATCTTTTCTTGTGGCTAATATTCCATTGTATACATGTACCACATCTTTATCCAGTCATCCGTCATAGGACACTTCAGTGAATAATGTCACAATGAACTTCAGGGTGCATGTCTTTGAGGATAAATCTTTTCAAGTTTTTTGGATAAATACCCAGAAGAGAGATTTCTGGGTCATATGTTAATTCTATTCTTAATTTTGGGGGGAACCTCCATACTATTTTCCATAGTGGCTGTACCAATTTACATTCCCACCAGTAATATACAAGGGTTCCGTTTTCCCCACAACCTCTCCAATGCTCATTACTACTTGTCCTGTTGACGGCCATTCTAACAGGTGTGAGATGGTATCTCGTTGTGGTTTTGATTTGCATTTCCCTAATAGCTGGTGAAGTTGAGCATCTTTTCATATGTCTGTTGGCCATTTGTATGTTTTCTTGGGAGAAGTATCTGTTTAGGTCCTCTGCCTGTTTTTCAGTTGGATTTTTTTTTTTTAATTGTTGAGTTGTATGACTTCTTCGTATATTTCGGATATTAGGCCCTTATTGGAGATGTTGTTAGCAAATATCTTCTCCCATTCAGGTGTTTGCCTCTTTGTCTTGTTGATGGTTTCTTTTGCTGAGCAGAAGGTTTTTAGTTTGATATAGTTCCATTTATTTTTGCTTTTACTTCCCTTGCCTTTGAGGTCAAATTCATAAAATCCTCTCTAAATCTAAGGTCCATGAGTTTAATACCTATGTTTTCTGCTATTCAATTTATTGTTTCAGGTCTTATATTTAGGTCTTTGATCCATTTTGAATTAATTGTGGTGTATGGTGATAATAGCAGTCTAGTTTCATTGTTTTGCATGTGGCTTTCCAGTTTTCACAGCACCATTTATTAAAGAGGCTTTTCTTTCTCCATTGTACGTTTTTGGCTTCTTTGTCAAAAATTATTTGCCCTTATATACAGGGCTTTACTTCTGGACTCAGAATTCTGTTCCATTTATCTGTGTGTCTGTTTTTCTGCCACTACCATGCCATTTTGATTATTGTCACTTTGCAGCATAATGTTTTGGTAACTTTTTAATCAAAGAAAAATGTTTAAATATGTTCAAATAGATGAGACTAGTGTTTTTTAACTTCATACTGTTAACATTTGGGCCAATAATTCTTTGTTACTGGGGCATCTCCAGTGCACTGTAGGGCATTTAACAGCATTCCTGGCCTCCGCCCACGAGATTCCAGTACCACCCAGATATGTCAACCAGAGCATCTCCAGGCATTGCCGAAAGTCCTGTAGGCTAAACTCACCCACAGTTGAAAACCAGTGGATTAGACCAAGATGGCTGGGCCGCACATGTTACATGCTCGCCATGCCCGACACGTGCTTCATGTGTGTTGTCTCATCCAGTTCTCACAACAATTTCGAATAGGACTGTTTTGTCCTCATTCTCACATGAGCAACCAAGACTTAGACCAAGTAATGTGCATGGTGTAACCCCGTGCCTTGCGTAACCGTACACCCAGGTGGCCTGACTCTGGACCCAGATGCCCTCAGGTTGAATCCCATCTCCCCACCTACTAGCTGTATGAACTTGGGCAAGTCAGATGACTTAACTTTTCTCTGCCTCAATTTCCTATAAGCTCCTAAAATAGTATCTGCCTCCCAGAGGTTTAAACCAGTCAGTGTATGCAGAGGATTTAGGGCAGGACTGGCATGTCACAGCTAAGCACTTGCAGTGACAAGTCGCTGAGAATACAAAGGTCAGAAAGAGACCTCGTCTCGGAGTCTGGTTGGAGATGCAGGCTTGTGCACTAGTAACTTGTTTCAGTAGCACGTGCTCTGGGAGTACAGAGATGGCGGCAGCGGACTTCTTCCGGAAGTCATGACTGAGTTCACACAGGAGGTCCCAGGTGAGCCCTAAAGGATGCGTGGAAGCTTGGGCAGGCAAAGGGTGAGTGTGTGTGTGTGTGAGGGGGCGGGGGTGGTCTAGGTGGAGGAGAGCAGTAGGGGTGAATCCTCAAGGGATGCAGGGGCTCACACCATTTCATCATCGGCCACTTCCAGTCCGGACAGAATTGGGCCATTATCTTGTATGAAATGTCTGCTTTTCTGAGAGTTCAAAACACTCCTGTATCTATTTAGAAAAAAAATAGTCCAGCGCTAAATAACAATTATTTTTGAAGTGCATGTAGACTTATACAGAATATATAAAGTAAACTTTTAGTATCAGATTATAGGATGTGTAGACTGCCTATAAAGCCAGTCACGTTAAGCCAAATAAGAGAACCATATGGGTGTCAAAGCAATCCTATCACATGAACGTGCATTAAAATATTCTTTTTATTTAGTTACTTTTAATGACATTTAAATGTTTAGAAATAATATTTGACCACTTAAAAGGAATACATACTTTAAACAGTCATTTGAACTTCCGTTTAAATGATTCCCTTCCTGACTCATGTATGAATCATATATGATTCCACTAATAGCCAATGACATCATTGAAGAGAATGACGATCTGCCAGGTAAAACAGGTATAAAATATTTTATACCTGTTATTCATGTAAAAGATATTCTTCCTATTCCCGAATTATTAATATACAAAGAAATGCTTTTCCCTCTTTACTGTTATGTCACGAGCAATGACTAAATTTGAATTAACGAATTATTAGTGTGCAGTGTTTCCTTTGCACATTAGAAAATCCAAGTTTTATTTTCTTCTTAAAATATTTGAAATACATAAGATAATTTAACTTACTTTTTAAAAGCCTTCTTTATACTTTGAAAATTACTTTCATATCTATCAACTAATTGAAGCAGCTCATTTATAAGAGCACTTTTTTTTTAATCTGAATCAAACTTGAGAATAAAATGACAGCAAAAGTAACCTTTATTATCCCAAAATTAATCAGTGAGAGATTAAATGAGATGGAGGTAAATCCGTGGGATAAGTGACAGTCTGGAGGATCCTCTTGCCAGCAGCGGGAGAGGGCGGCTCTTGAGCCGGTTCTCACGCACCTCTGATCACTTAGCTTGTACTTAATGCTTTAGAAGCCCTGCAGATTTGACTTTGGGTTTGGTTTGGTTTTGCTTCGCTGTGGTAGCATTTACCTGTTGCTTTCCTTTAGCTCTGCCTAAGCATCCTATGTCATATTGTTGGCTCTCGCAAGTGTATTTGGCTGTTTTTCTAAAATGATTAAAGTGACAGGGAGGTCACAGTAGGTGGGGACTTGGAGCGGCTGGTTTGGGCAGTGTCTGAAAGAGGTGGACAGCTCATCTGTCCCTGCTGAGCTGCCACCGCAGTGGGGCTGGAACACAAGCGAGTTCCTGATGTGGCAGTGTCACACAGGTGGCAAAAGCCAGGGATCCCAGGATTAACACCAGGGCCAGGTGCTGCTTACACTTGGCAATTTAATTCTTTTTTAAAATCCAATTAAGTACCAATTCAGATGTATCAACAGGCTATCTTAAAAAGGAGAAAAGAGTCATTAATTAATTGCCTTATGAATACAATCAAAGCCTCTTTCAATCGGAAAGCTTTAGCTAAAACGTGAAAATAGTGATGGATGAATAATTTTACAACAGATGTAACTGTTACCTGGTAATTTGTTGGCATTTTAAATGACCTTGTCATTTTTTAAGTATTTAAATTTTTGTAGAGTATTTACAAATTTTGTAAGCATAATTCTTTTTTTTTTTTAATCTAAAAGACAAAAGTCACAGCAGGTACCTAAAAATTCCATGTGCATTACAGTTGTTTACACGTAATCCTTCAGAGTGTATGCTGAATTGCCCTCCGGCTTTGTAGTGGGGATAGGCTGCTGCTTGGGTGGGTGGAGCCAAGCTTCTGCATTCTTTTTTATGCAGGAAGTGCAGAAAATCATGCCAGAGGTAAACAGCAGCATGGCCGAGATGAATCCGATGTAGACGGCTCCTCCCGGTTCGTGTTTGTTGCTTTCTGGAACTGTCAGATCCAGAAAGTTTGCTATGATCTCCTTCGTGTACCACACCATCGGTATGAAACCAGAGACCCCTGCGGACACGAGGCAGAGTCCTCCCGCGAAAGAGGCGTGGCTCTTGGTTTTTGTGTCCCCTCCTAAGCGAGTACATTCCATCCCCACTGTGGCAGTGCAGGTCCCCAGAGCAGACAGAACGCAGGCCAGGACCATGGTGGCCCGCGCAGCCTGCACGTGGGCGGGGAGGGACAGAATGGAGGGCTTCAGGGCGCAGCTGAACATCCCGGTGCTGTACCACGTGCAGTCCATCCACAGCCCTTGCAGCTGCACGATGGCTGTGATGATGTTGGAGCCTGCATCCACGTTCACCTTCCAGTTGGGCAGCAAGGTGGCCGCGAGCACTCCAAAGACCCCACATAAGGCCAAGACCAAAGCAAGGAGCTGGAGGCCCGCCGAGGCCATGACGTTACGGTCAGCTTCGTCCGCCTCGAAAATCCTGGTGCTTAATTCTGATGGCTCTTGGTCAAAATTGTAGCCTTTTGGGCATTGG